CCCCCCCCCCCTCCCCCCTGTGACGCTGAACCGTGATGCCCGCCGTGTCTTGAAGGGTGCGGCCGGTGCCCTCCCCCGGCAACGCCATGGTTGTAACTGGTCGTTCGCCCGACGTGCCCAAGGACCTAAGGGGACGGGGGGGGTGAGCGTGGAGAGGTCTTGTTCTGTGAGCATGCCTACTACCACTTCGTACTTAGACTTTACCAAACTCTTGCTGGGGACAAACTGTTCAACACACGTAGGCAGTTAGCCTAATAAGCATGAGAGAGAGAGAGAGGAAGACGCACACCGTCATAAAGCATGAGGTACACCCACGAAGAAGAAAAATATGAAGTCTTCCCTCCGTCCGGACGCCAACACGCACATCGGGAAGAGGCGCGCGTGTGGCATACAACTGGCGGTAAGCGTGTCACACAGCACAGCGCTGAGGAACACGAGCAGCAGCAGCGTAGACATTGCATTGTGACAGACAGGTGCGTGACAGGCAGGTGTATCAGGCTCACAACATACCCATCACAATCGACTCAAGCCTGCCGAATTTCCCGCGAAGTGAAAGCAAGCAAGCAGTCGACAGTAATACCACATTTTTCGCCACAAAAAATACGTTGATGGCCATGGATATTTGACGCGAGAGCCCCAGCAGCAGCAATAGTAGGCAGGGCAAACGGCTTTGCGAAGACAGTCAGCAGCACGGCGCATGTACGCAGCCACACCCAGTCCCGGATAGCCATCCTGATAACGCGCAGCAGTAGACCCTCACGCCCTCGAACTCGCTCGATAATATGTGTGCTCTGGACTTGGGGAAGGTGCGTGCTCCTGTTGTGCATCAGCGAGCTCACCACTCTGTTGTTTGGTTGAGCAGTCAGTTGGACCCACATATCATCAACACCCGTCAGGTTACAAATGGCGCATGGCTATACCCACGGCGCGCAGGTCGTATGGGCTCGGCCCTTCCTGGTTTTCATTGCTGCTCTCGGATCTGAGTCCCAGCAGTGATGCATTTCTTGCTGTTTTTTTCCGGCTTTTTCTCACTGTTACTTCACCGGTTCGAGTCGTGCGGGCTTGAGATCTTCGCTTTTGTGGTTCCGTTCTCGTGCCGAAACCAGGGGATAGGGAGTGCAATGTCCTACGAACTTGGGCACAGATGCCTGTTTAGCAAGGCCGTCTGTTGTCGGAGCGCGGCAAAATCGGTGTGACGGGGAGTGCCCTATTTTTCTTCCTCCTCAGAAGCCAAC